ATACGAAATAGAACGGATACATTACTGAGTAAAGGTCAGTGATGATGAACTGCAGCTTTGCATTAAGAAAAGAGTTGACCACAAAGAGATGCACTAAACTAACTTAGTTTGTCATGTTTTAAAAGTAATATGAGGGAAATATGTCACACATTTAATGCATTATGCTCAAAGTCAGTGCCGCAGAGTTCTGCTCCTTGCACCTTTTAGTTCCATGTTCTTAAAACTCATTTCTAATTGGGACGTGGCTGGCTCAGTCTTTGATGTGCAAACGTTCAGAGGCAGCTTAAAGACGGAATGGTCTTTGCAGCCTTTTTGCAGAACTGTTTTGTGAGTACCGTATTTTCCGCTGTACACGTCGCACCACTCTATAATTCACATCAGTCCAAATATGTCTAAAAAAGTGGAAAAATCCATTGGTTATCGCTTCTCGGCCTTTTGGCTAAGATCAAGTGTAGTATCTGTTCTTATCAGTTTAATATCTGATACGTCCCCTACCCGGGGACCATATATTAAATTGATTTTTGGAACAGGGAGATGGAATAGGGGCTTGCTCCGTCCACTCCACGCATCAATCTGGTATTGCAGTATCTCCAGGACTGGTGCACTCTCTTTTTAAGTGTCCTTGGGTGTCATGAAAGGGGCTTTTTAAATAAAATGATTATTATTATTATTATAAATATGTTGCTTCGCCATATACATCACATCTATTATGCATCACCGCTGACACGTTGCGTTTGTTATGCGTCACCACTTACAACCCAGAAATGTGGGCCAGTGTTGTGCCAAAAATCAATTGGCTGCCAATTGGTGGCCGCGGGAACGTGCACGGGAAGACTTTAACAAGAATTTAACGAGATTAACACTTAAAAACAGTTATTTGTTTGCTCAAAATTATAATAAATGTGTGTCTCTGTCTAACTTTTATAATATAATTAATTTGGTAATTAAACCCCAAAATACATTACGGCAAAGACTGGTTCATCCCAAAGATCCAGTCCCCCGGCACAAACAGAGTAATATTGTGTATGCTGTTCAGTGTCAGGAGGGCTGTGATCAGTCTTACATCGGGGAAACTAAACAGCCACTGGCCAAAAGGATGGCCCAGCACAGAAGATCAACATCATCAGGCCAGGATTCTGCGGTCTACACTCATTTTCAGGCCAGCGGTCACTCTTTCAGGGATGAAGATGTTCACATCCTGGACAGAGAGGAGCGATGGTTTGAGAGAGGAGTAAAGGAGGCAATCTTTGTGAAAAGAAATCGTCCATCATTAAACAGGGGTGGAGACCTCCAGATTCAACTGTCCCCCTCTTACAATGCTGTGATTGCTAGTATCACTCAACCCCCTGTGAATAGTAAACAGCCTCAGTGTGCTAATGATCCATTGTTAGGCTGATGGTCCTTCTTGACCATGTGAGCAGCTGGTTTTGGTTGTCAGCAGCAAACTGGTTGATCCACTCTGAGAAGGTGCTATTTAAGAGACTGAGCTGAATACAGCACCTCAGACTGAGGAAGTCTTTCGGATGAGAGACGAAATGTTTCTACATTTTTTTTGCTTTGTTTTGTTTTTTGTTTTTCTTTAATGTCCAGAGGACCAGGTTGAATCTGTTTGCTTGAAATTATAGCAGATGTGTGTCTCAGTTGAACTTTTATTTAATAAATGCACTTTAATGGTCAAATTAGCTGCATTTTGCTAGGGCGGTGCAGCTAGTTTGACGGTTCCAAGCAGCGAGCAGAATGAAGGTGGGGAGAATTTGGCAAGCTGATTGTGTCAATAGCTGGTGAAGATTCTCAGTCATCCAGGACATGGTAAATTCAAAAAAGTTAAAGACAAAAACAATAAAGTATAAAGAATAAATCAAGTCCATTTGTTTTTGTCTTGTACTTTTTTGAATTTGTCATTATAGCCACTTTTACCTATTACATCATACAACATCATGCCTTCTGCCACTACTACTCTGCTGCCTTCTAGTGGCTGAAAGTGGTACCTCTCAAACAAAAAATTTTCAGTCAGAATGAATGAAAATGGTCATATCTCAGCCAAAAAATGGTTTATAAATATGGGGGAAAAAAATCCATAAATATGTCGCTTCAGCCTATAAGTCACAGGGCATGTAAATTATGCAAAAACCTCGACTTATACAGCAAAAATATGGTAAACTAAATAAGATCCATCAAATGAATCTTTACTATGATATAAGAGTTTGCACAAGAGCAGTAAAACAAAAGACTGTCAGTGGAGCCCTTATATCCTGGTTCACTATAGCAGCCACTGGAAAAAGTGTAATTTGTTTCTAAATTCCACGTCTATCTGAAAGTACCTGAGACTCTTAATTCATATAGGGCGTTTTTAATAATCATTTTTTTTAAATTGCCACGAGTATATGAAGAGTCAAATATTTATGGGAGTTAAATCTGTAGTCAAAATGTTGATTTTTAATAAATGTTTTCACTGTAGGAAAATGTCTGTAAAATGGGATTCCCAGAACAAACATTAAATAATTATTTTGGTTATTTATAGGTTTTATAGGTAATACTTCATCTCAGGATTATTCAGTTATTATCACCATTATCTACCTTCTCAATAACATGCAGCAGGCTGCGATTTCGCCGCCTCTTTAAGTATCTGGATGGCGGTGCATACTTTGATTAATTTTTTCCCCTTTGGAGCTTATTGACACCCTGGTGCGTGATAGTCACATGACCGACTTTAGTCGCTCTAGTGGGAAAGGCACAGCCTCTCAGAGACGCCATTTTAATATGTGAAAAGTACAGACTTTAAACTATACATCCGTTTTTAATTTGTGTCGATAGGTCATGTAAAACCAGAGTTATGATAAACAATCCACACCACATCTTTTTCTGAAAATCATTGTCATATCTGAAGCACTTATTCTTTAAATAGTTGATGTGACAAAACGAGTCTCAGCGAATGTCCTCTGCTGTGTGGGCACATGTGGATGAAGTTATCCCATCCAGCTGGCATGGCTCAGGGACAACTGAGAAATATCTGATCAGTATTTGGTTGGTGTGATCCCTGAACACACGCTGCCTCCTAGTCATCCTTCAGCACCACAGCTGTCATTGTCTCACAGATACGTCCAACTTTACTTGGCTCTTTATGGACATATGTGATGTCTGTGAGGATCCACAACTTCTCCTTCACCATAACGCTTAGCACTGACTCCCCTCAGGGCTGTGTGCTGAGCCCTCTCCTGCTCACTCTGCTAACGTATGACTGTGCACCTACCCATTCAGGCTGTCACATTGCAAAGTTTGCAGATGATACAGCGGGATGGGTTGCATCACAAACAATGATGAATCCAGCTAGAGGCAGGAGGTGGAACACCTGGAGAGCTGACGCAAGGAGAATAACCTTCACATCAATGTGAAAAAGACGAAGGAGATGATTGTGGATTTCATAAGGAGCATACACACCTACCCCCACCCCCACCCCCGGAACATAGGAGGATCTGCGTTGGAAGTGGTCTCCAGCTACAAGTACTTGGGTGTACACCTGAATGACAATCTCAGCTGGTGCAACAACACCACCAGCCTGATCAAGAAAGCTCATCAGAGACTACTTCCTCAGGCGGCTGAGACGAGCTGGACTGTGAAGCTCAGTCCTCACCTCCTTCTACAGGTGTGCAGTGGAGAGCATCCTGTGCTCCAGCATCAACGTGTGGCATGGAGGCTGCACAGCTGCAGAAAGAAAAGCTTTGCAGAGTGGTGAAGGCTGCACAGAAGATGTTAGAGTCAGCCTCCCCACCATCACAGCACCTCCAAATGCAAGAAGAGGGCCACCTGCATCATGAAGGACCCCACTCACCCAGCACACACACTTTTCACCCCACTCCCCTCAGGAAGGAGGTTGAGGAACATTAGTGTAGAACCGCTAGACTGAGGAACAGCTTCTACCCTGAGGTTGTTAGACTCATGAATCTCTAACCAGAATAATCACAGTAATGCCACTTTAACTGGTGATATGTGACTTATCTGGGCTGCTGATTATCCATGCTGCTGATCTTTTGTTGTTAAGTTGCTGTATTCATACTCATCTGCTCACATAGACTCGTATTCAGGCTGCTGTTAAGCACATTGAGTTATATTACATTATTAGTGTTACGAGGCCCCTGGTATTCTATTTGTTTACGTTAAGATGCAGTTAAACAAGATTTGTTAAATTTGACAAACATCTGGGGGGTTTTGTTTATATAAAATAAAATACACAAGATAAAGTAAAACGGGGGAACAAGATGTAGTCCTGCACACCGAAGCTCAGTACTGTAGACCTACCTTCTTAAACAGTTCCAGCGTTACGTCTCGTCAGGTCCATGTCATGATCCTGGTCCGTCTGGCCTCTGGAGTTTCTCTGTTCTTCATGACCAAACTGCTGCAGCTCCTTCAGGTTGGACGAGTGCTGCTTGTGTCCAGTAATCTTTAAATCAAACCCTCAGTTGGACTGAGGTCTGGGCTTTGACTGGACTATTCCAGTATATTCTGGTTCTCAACCAGTGGAGTGCTGCTTCAGCAGTGTGCGTAGGGCAGGGCAATTCAACGAAACTGCTCAGGGGCCACAGTCACTGGAAGCCATGAGCTCAGAGGCCAGACATCCAGCAGTTATTGTCATTAAGTTTGTTTACGGTTTAAAAACTAGTTTTAGTTAAACATGAACACATTGGTGGGCCGAACTGAGCTCACCCATAGGCCTGATTTGGCCCCTGAGCCACCAGTTGACTAGCCCTGGCATAGGGTCATTGTGCTGCTGGAAGGTGATGCTTGATGCTGCCACCACCATGCTTTACTTTGGGGATGGTGTTCTCATCACAATGAGAGTTTGTAGGTTTAGCACCTTCCACGTGTCTGGAGAAGATTCCAAGTTCCAGATCGATCTGGAAGATCAGCTAGATCTGATCTGGAACTGATCTGGAATGATCAGAGTGGATCTGTTAGATGGTGATTTAGTTTTAATACACCTTTTTCTTCTTCCTTCTCTGCAGCTGGAAACAACGTTGAAGTAGACGAGTCACTCTTTCAGGACATTGATGACTTGGACTTGGATGAGGATGACCCAGATTTTGACCCTTTAGAGATTGGCAGTGATGAAGACTGAAGCTCTGCAACACAGACCTTTAAAACATTTTCTCTAAAATGGCTGTGGTTCTTCATATGCTCAATGTTTTCTATGACCTAGAACCTGAGGCAAGGGGACCTTACTTTTTACAACACATGGTTAAATGCCTAAAAATTTAGAATGTCCTAAAGTCAATGCAATGTAAGAGGCATACAGGTGCATCTAAAATAATAGATTATTGTAAAAAGGAGACACAATTGTCAGTAATTTCAGGAAGTGAAACTTGTGTATTATAGATTCATTACACAGAGTGAAATGTTTGAAGCCTTTATTTCTTATATTTTGATGATTATAACTTACAAATAATGACAAACCAACATTCAGTGTGTCAGAAAGTTAGAATATTCCACAGCCAGATGTTGGTCCCTTTGTCAGTGTGGGCCGGAGCTGAGTCCTGCTGGAAAATGAAACCAGCATCTCCAAGAAGCATGAAGTCTCTAAAATGTCCTGCTAGATGATGCTTGGAAACAGGACTTCAGAGAACCTAGTGGACCAGAACCAGCAGAGGACATGGACTCAGACCATCCCTGACTCTGGAAATTTCTCTCTGGACTTGAACAACGTGGATTCTGGACCTCTCCGTCTTCCTCTAGACTCTGGGACCTTGATTTATAAATGACATGAACATTTACTTTCATCTGAAAAGAGGATGTTGGACCACTGAGAGACAGTCCAGGTCTTTGTCTCCTGATGTTGTCTCTGGTTCAGGAGTGGCTGGACTGGAGGAGTGACACATGTGTAGCTCATGTTCAGGAGTTCATCAGCTGATCAGGGTGAGACACCAGGAGTTTATAATATTGAATCTCTAAACAATATTCTCATTGTCTGACACACTGAATGTTGGTTTTTCATTATCTGTAAGATAATCATCAAAATGACAAGAAATAAAAGCTTGAAGTATTTCACTCTGTGTAATGAATCTATAATAAGAGTTTTACTCTGAAATGATTGACAAAAATGAACTTTTCACAATGTAATTTCTGAGCTGTACAAATTCAAAATGACCACTTCTGTCCTGAAGGAGGCATTAAAGTCTGAAAATCAAAAGTTTTTATTTTCTTTCCTCTGTTCCTTTTTTTGAACTCTGAATGTGTCTCAGTTTCTAAACTGCACACAGAAGAAGACAGGAGGTGGACTGGGTCAGCACATTCAGGAACTGAACCTCTGCACAAAACTCCACTCCTTTATTTTTTAGGGACAAACAACCATTCCTCTTTGACTGGCAGTAAATAGAACTAAGATGTGGGTTAAGATAAATGTCCTAATTACGTTTGCAATACTACTTTAAAGCTTTAAATGCCCAAATAATTTAACCTTACTGCTAATCAACAAGTGCCAGCGCTGTACAGAAAAACCTTGATAAAGGTGGGTTTAAAGTTCGTCAGATAGGATTAATGGTTCTAACCAATGATGCCTGACGGGTGATATGCAGGCAAATACTAAATTCTCAGGGGGCAGGTTGTATTTTTTTCTGTTTTAAACAGATGGGCAATAAAAAGAAGTGATTGTTGGCTTCAGGTGAGCTGCAAAGAGAGATTGAACGGTAAACTGAAGTCCGTCTCGCTATGACAGCTAAAACCAACATCTCACTGGAGTGCAACTAGATGGGAGACAAAACTGTAAGAAAATCTGCTAATTTTCAAGGTACGTACAACACATTTGTATACATGCATAACTGCAGATAAGTGTGGTTTTTTTTTATATTCTGGGAAATGACCTGCAAATTTTTTTTCTCATAATTTAGTCACAGATAAACCTAATGTCTCAACTTGGTCACAGTTTACTTTCAAGGTTCATTACACCCTCCCAAAGTTGTCTAATTTCATTAACTTTGTGATGCATAGAAACCAAATTTAAAAGGGTTCAAGAGGCCTAGCTGTTGGCAGCAACACTGTGTGACTGTTTTCCAAGAATTTTTTGTGAATTTTTCAAAATTCTAGCAACACAAGATCCAGACTTGGTCTCACATGGAAACTGAATGTTTAGACATTTTTGAAAGTGCATTGTTAAAAAATTCTCTAAGATAATTATGTAGCAGTATGAAGGATGTGGTATGGAGGAAGAAGGGTGACACTTTCTCCACTCCCCTTCACTACATTTATTTTATTTAATTGACTCGTTAAAGTGGGGCACCAGCTGGTCAGTTTACTGACCAACAACAACTTAATTAATATATTCACCCTTTAACAATCAGAATCAGTCACTGAAGTAGAATGTTAATTACAGGAAGTTCAATACCATAACACATGAATATTCATCTGAATGAAGAGGCCAAATTTGTCTTTGAAGTTTTATTACAAAAATAATCAAACTAAAAATCAACAACAACAATAAACAAACAATAATAATGAATCAATCGAGGCTTAATTCTCTTCTCTAAAGCTAAATTGACTCTTTGAGCAGGAATTATTTCAGTTTTATACGTGCATGAATTTAGACAGAGTTTGACTATTTTAATAAATAGTTTACTTTGGATTTTGGGTGAAAGAAGTTATTTAATCTGATCAGATAGTCATTTATCATCACTGCAAGCCAGGAAACAATTTACCAAGTTGCATCAGCTTAAAATAGCATAACCAGACCAAGAGTAAACTTCTAACAATTGTAATTTGAGCGACATGCTTATCTGCTCAAGAGTTGAACGAGTGGACCTAAGCACAACCTCGGGGATCGGGTCCACAGACGAATCATCTTCCGGTTCGGGGCCGGAGGCGAACTGCTTAGTTCGGGTGTCCAAGGCGAACTTTTTTTTTTTTTTTTTTAAGATGGCCTCCCTTCTCCCCTTACAGCCATCCTCTCCACACCATTATTATGAAATATTTATTCTAGTGATTATCTAGTGTAGCTTTTTTTTTTTTTTTTTTTTAATAGGATAGAAAGAAAGAAAAGACAAAGTATGACTCCAAAATATAAGAAATATACACAAAGAGAGCACACGGCAAAACACCCGGCCACTGTCTGTTCACCTGCAAAGAACATGACATAACACATCAACAAAATACATACGTATAAAGAACTTAAAATATTCATGGCTTTGCAGTAAGTTTCCATAAATATATATACCCATACCTACGCCTATATACATACACATGAATATACATTCATATACATATCTATATATCTACATATAAAGCCTACATAAGCATCCCTGCATCTATTTGTGTGTGGTTGTGAGCATGCATAAGTGTATAAGGCTTCTCTAATAGAACATTTAATAGTAACTGTGAAGCAGCAGAGACCCGACCCCCAAGACCAGAGGCAGACGAAAAAGGGGGGACCAGAGCCCAAGACCCCAGGAGGGACCCCGACCGCGGAGCCCCCAGGGCCACCCACACAGGACGAACCACTCACCCACCCCCCAGATCGGACCACAGGGGAGAACCGGAAGATCCCCACCAGCGACCACATACAGTGACCCCCCGGGGCCAACAGCGACAAACTCATAGGCCCCTGCCGCACCGATGCAGGTCCAGGC